GTAACTTCACACAAACTAGAATCAATTTTAATTCCGGGCCTTTTGGGACAAACATACAAATAATCTTTGACTTGATGAATTTTGCCTTTATAAAAAGCAAAAAAGTTAAAACAACAGAAATACCAGACTTTATTGACACTTTTCTTGAATATTTGCATCTATTAATAGGAACTTAGAACTATAATTTGATATGTCACAAAATGAAAGGTTCATTTTTACGTTCTAACTTATGTGCCCCCCCCCACTTTCTTCCTAACCTTACTTATACTATAAGAAATGTTTACTGAAAACCTGGTTGGCCCCCAACATTTAGACTTTTAGGGATGTATTGAAAATATAAGTATTAGAATTGGTACTAAAAATCGTTGACACTGAGAAAAAGTTAACCTACCCCCCCCCCCCACGAAATATGATTTTCGATTTAGGCAAACTTTTCCCCTTTTTCTTGGTTGTTAACATTTTCAGGAAAGAAAAAATCTATTTCTATGGCTGCCCCCACCCCACTTTAAAAAACGATGATACGTCACTGCCAATATTATTTTTCATTCACATATTACATGCTAAGAATTTCCAATTTTTTTTTTGTTTAGTAGTAAGTGATCCATCATATAAAAGCAAACTCTCTACCCGTGCTTAAAATCTCTCGAATGAAATGTCTGTTGTATGTGATTAAACTATGATACATGTACATGTTTATTGGTAATGATTTTGTAAGCTTCAGCATTTATATCAATAAAGCTGAAAAATCATAATACTAGTACTTGTAGCTTCATATTAGAGATTTTCATACTTGTTCACAGATTAAAATCTATACACAGATTCCCTTCATTTTGATGGGGATAAGTTTGATTTTATATGATATGCGTAATAAAATAACTTTGTATGTGTGTGTGTGTGGGGGGGGGGGGGGGGGGTGAGGATGAGATGGTGTGTGTGTGTTTCGAGGAAGTTTGGTTGTACATTTTACACGTAAAAGAATGTGTCATTCTAAACATATAAAAACTTTGCAGTTGCAACACTTAATGAAATTTCTATCTTCAAGTGGATTTTAATATTTTCGGATGTACCAAAATTTCTACATGTATATGCCTTTATGATAAAAAGTATTAAATTAAAATAAATGTGGTATTTGAAATTTTAACATTTTATATGCAATGGCAGTGGAATCCTAAAGATATTTCAAACAATATATTTATATATAGATGCCAGAATGTCATACAATGGGTTTGAATTTGTGGTGGATTCCTGTCCTTTAAGTCAGGAGAAGACAACTGAGGCAGCTACCAGACTGAACTGTAGTGAAGATGAATATGGACGGAGTCGTTATGTCTGTGTCCCAAACCAAAACCTCACAGCCTTAATAGAGTTCTGTTATACGAAAACAATTGTTGGAATTTACCAGAAAGGTAGTCAGTTCTTCAGATATAATCTTGGATTTTAGATCTATGGACATAAACTATTATATTACAAACTGATACGTTTACTTTTTTTATCCTTGAGTCATACATGTAGATTTGTTTTTTTTTTTTTACTTTGCTTTGATATCATAATGGGCGATGTTTGTATCAGCGTTTGAATCTAGTGGTCATTTTAATTTGTTCTCGTTGAAATACGGTGGTTTAAGGTTAATATTCCTTTTTATGGTTGTCCATTGTCATTCTTTAAGATTCTGGCTGAGATCCTACATGTTCGAGTGTTTAGTTCTACAAAGGTGTTTAGAGCAAATAAATTCCATTTTGTTCCTTTAAAGTAATATACGCTATAATGTGCGCCATTTTAAAATACGGCTTGAAATTTATATATTTTGTTTACCAATAAAAGTTACGACAATCCTGAAAATTACACCATTTAAATAAAATTCGTAATAAAGTTATCAAATTATAATTATTTATTATCCTGCAAGGAGAAGAATGTCTATTTTTAAGTGAATCCACCACGTGACGCCGTCGCTACTTTTAGATTGATAAACAAACACGGCGTCAAGAAAACGAGGTAAGCCCTTTGAGATACAACTCACTTTTTGACGTAGATGGCGAGTTACTATTAATATAACTTATCTTTAAATGTAATCAGTATCAACCATCTATACTCTGTTATGACGCATATAAACCTTTTATTAGTAATCGTTGTCAAAATGCAACGTGCTTCGTTGTCTATAATTTCCCGTGGACAAACGTGTCTATATTTAGACCTACTATTTACGCACTTCCTTTATCAATATTCATGAAAAGACTGAATTCTTGATTGCAGATATTGCTTTATTGTTCTGTTATTACAACGAGTTTTATAGTTAAATTTTGTGGAAATATTATTTTTTCATTACACTTTATGTGTTTCAAATCATTTAATCATTTTGTTTCACATACAAATCGCATCCATACGGCGTATATTACTTTAACATATATATATGTTGATACTTCAAGTTTATGATGTTGATCAGTATTATGATGAGAGTATAGTATTATGTACATTTAAATTACCTTCTACATCTGTTCACTGTACATTTTAATTTCTCCACACCATTTTCCTGTCCTGGAGTTCCAATATTTTTTAACAATAAGTGAATCGGTATTTGTAGTATACTTCCCCATAATCATCTACCCAACATATCATCAATTTCAGTAATGTTTCCAATTAAATAAGGGTTTTTCGCCAAAAGTTACGCTCAGCGTAAGCGATAATCGGCCTTGCTGTGTGAATGGTCAACGCATTTTGTCAACATTAACACAGAAGTAGTTGTTTGCACAAATAACCCTTTAGGAGTACAAAGGAAATTCCATTCATGTAGCTTAAATGACCTAAGTAAGCGTGTATTATTTACTTTGAGCGCAGTTGTCATCATGGTCTTTGACGCAATGCAAAAAAACATTCTTATACTATATTAATTAGATGTATATATGCAAAGAATCTTTGTTTTTGCAATCTTGAAATTATCAAAAACCATTAACTTTATATTTTCTACTCAGGTCACTGTCTGAGATCGATAGGGAATGGATTTCTAGACCAGATTAGCTGCACTAACTTTACAGAGGGATGTCCTAAACAGTATTTCAGAAGCATTGACCTGTATAAATGTAAGGATTGATAAAATTATTTAATCCACAAATATTTTAGTATATATATATATATATATATATATATATATATATATATATATATATATATATATATATATATATATATATATATATATATATATATATATATATATATATATATATATATATATATATATATATATATATATATATATATATGTATATATATATATATACGAGGGTCATTCAAAAAGTTCGTAGGTTCGTAGACTTTTGTCAAAACTTCTTTATTTAACGTTATATTTAAACCAAAATTGTTACATATATTTTAACAACAGATTCAAAATATTTTTAGCAAAGAAATTGGAATATATCTTTATGTTTGTCAAAATTATCAAAGATTTAAGACAGCAAAAATGGGGTCACGGAGCAGGGTCAAAATTGAGTTATTGACTGATTATTCACTTTTCATATCTGAAGCCATAACTCTTGAAAATTGTCCTTAAATGAAATAAAATTTACGTGCTTAAATTAAAAATTGTTTCATTTCTTCAAAAGCAAAAAGTTAATGTAATACATTACTTTGTTTAAAAGATATCCATTTCTACAGACAGATAGTCTTGATTTAAAAAAGCAAAAAATCATGACGTTGAAGGATGTCACAGAACAGCGAGTAGCAATAATTTTGTTTTGCATTTGGAAACTCTTAAAACAAACTCCAAAAATGCTGGAGAGACGAGGAAAAATACATAAAATGAGCCGTGTATCTGTATTTTAATGGAACAGACAATTTTTGATGGGTAAAGACTTTAAATTTGGCGATGGGCTTTCTGCAAAAAACAGATTATAGTTCTAAATCTTTTCAAAAGAGTTAGTAACGTCATGAAACGTGACATGCACTTCACTGTTGCGGAACCTGTAAGAGCAGAATTTCATGGTAAAGGATTTAAAAACATTGACAATCTTATTTAAATTATATTCAAATTATTGATAGCATACTAGGTGTAAAGTGTTGTGGAAAGGTTTTAATGAATGAGGAATACGATACAAACCATGTATAAAATGAAAAGGGACTGTGAGTTGAGAAATGTTCTTTAACGTTCTTTTTGACATACACTGTTTTTGACCGTGCTCCGTGGTGACAAAACATCTTACATTTAAAATTGTCTAGTATGAGTTCCGTTTAATCAAATAGCATGAAACTTCAGAAATCTATAAAATATATCTTTTTATATTTAAAAATGTACTAAAATTAAGATTTGTAAAAATAATGTGATGATAAGGAACATTGTCTACGTATTTTTTGAATGACCCTCGTATATATATATACTTATTACCCGAGGACATCAATTCATATATTTTTTTTTTCTAAAAAGATCCAGCTTGTCTTCATCTTAACACAGAAGAAAGATGTTTTATTGCAGAAAGCTCGTGCAATGCGTAAGTTGTGATATATTACACTCCATATGAAAATTAGAATTGTTTCTTGAAAGATTTCTTGAAAGAATTAAAAGAATTAGAAGACATTTAAATTATCAATACCTTTACAATTTATCTTAGTTTCATGAAACCGATTGATTTGCTCATAACTGTTTTCATACAATCTATATCTACAGAAATATAAGTGTCCAAAAATTTATATTGACAGACCGAGGTATTACAGTGATTCATTTAGAAAAATATGTATATGACTTGTATCAAATAAAGTCAAACTCGATTGAGAATCATTATCTGAAGGAGTTCAAAGCTTGATTTCAGAACAGTTATTAGGCATCTATCCCATACTCTCGTAGTTAAGATGTGCACACAGCCCGCTTGACCGATTGATCGTGCCAGCCAAAACGTCGGTAAAAGCATGTGTAATACATGTATTTGACTCTCTCGATTTCAGATCAAAGAGAGGGTTTTTAACAATTGATAATTTTTGGTAGAAGTTGGAAAAGATTGTGTATCAAACATTATATTAAGGAACGCACTGTAGTCAATATTTCCAGTTGATAGAATATACGAATAGCAGTGACCTTCTTGTGTGCAATAATATACACACTTTTTTTAATGAGTAACAATGACCCCAATCGAATAACGACCAAACAACAAAAAATGACACCCCCCCATTCCCGTAGAAAAAAAATCATATTATGTAGTAAATGTGTCCTAGAGGTCATTATTTTATATGCTAGTCTTATAAAAAATTGACCCCCATTGAAAAATGACTCCTTTTTAAGTGAAAAAAGATTCTTTAATTGTCAAGTAAATAAAATTTCTTTTAAATATTTTTCCTTATAGTGTTTGCTTAAAGAATGATATTCAACTTGTTTTTATAAATCAAACCATGCAACAATCAGGTTCCAATTTTCTTTATTAAAAAATAATTTTTCCCTTCATTTCAACTTTTAGCTGGTATAAGTTTGGTAATCCCCATTTGACAATGAGAGAATAGGAAATTTTTACCCCCCCCCCACCCCCAAAATAATAAAAAAACAAAAAAAAAAACAAAAAAAAATTACGTTAAATTAAAACCAACAAAAATAAAATGAAAAGCAAAAATATAAATAAAACTCTATACCTTTCAATAATACTGAAAGCTGAAAGAGGCTCTAGATAAAATATTGAAATGAAGTTAAGCCTTCACACAAGTTCAATCATGATCATTTAGAACCTAAAATGTTGTTGGTGGTATACTTGAAAGTATTGTGGCAGAGTGACAATTGAAAATTAATAGAAAAGTAGATTGTTATTAAGCTTATTCTTTGCCCCCCCCCCCCCCCCCTTATAGAAAAATAAAGGTAGGGTTTTTTTGTTATTGTTGTTGCTTTTCTTGATAATCAACTTACTCCTAGGTGGGGTTGGAATAACACCTAAAATATGCTCTGTAAAGCTATAGGCTAGTGTAAAACACACATTTTAAAGCAAAAACTATACAGTCATGCAGACATAAACTTTTGATTTGGCACACAGTATTCATTACATTTCTTAATTCTTGTTTTACTCCACTATTTTACCCAGTTCTGAGTATATTTTTCAGAGAATTTAATATGAAAATCAGAACAAACATTTTCATTTTTGTCCGTCTGTATGTCTGTCTGTCTATCTGCCGGTCTATTTCTCCGCAAAAACTTTAACCTCTACCATAAGTTTTCATTTATTGTAGCTTTGTCTTTAATTTTCAATATGTGTACATGTGAACATTCCTTGTGAAAAGACCTTACTCTGGGTACCACCAAATTTGACCTTTTGACGTCTACCTTGGAGTTTGTCCCATTTTACACAAAAATGCCAAAGTTTTAATTAATTTACTTTTGGCTATAACTTAGATTTTATAACTTTAAACGATAGATACTAGAACTCTCATACTTCAAAAAGGTTATCCTTGTTACATTAAACCTTTTCTTAAGAAACCATCAACTTTGATCCTTTGACCTTTGAGTTTGACCTACCACTCAAATACGTATTCTTAGCCATTAATTGTGAACAAGTGGTGCAAGGGCTTTCATGTTTGCTATTGTATTTCCTGTAAGAAGACCCTGCTTTTGGTCCCATTTTATTAAATTGCCTTTAAGGAAAGTTTAATTTTCGCTATGTTGCCATACAGGGGCATAGCTGTTTTACAAATACATCTTTTATGTATAAGAGGAGTTGCGGATAACAGATGGATACCCTAAAGCGTAACAGACGAACGGACATCCCAATCACTATATACATGTACCCTCCCGCTTTTCAAGCAGAGGATAAAATAATATATGATACTGCTGATTTTTTTCTGTCGGTAAGATGATTTCCACCATCGAAAAACAATGTTCACCTAACCCTTTAGGCTCGATAATTCTTTTACTCCTTTGGATTCTGAATCATTGCATTGACCTTAAAATATAGCTATAATCGTATGTTATGAGATCAACATATCATCAATTTATAAAAAAAATAAGCTCAGGTGAGCATTTTGGCCAATATGCTTCTTTGTCTAATTTTCTCTTTTGCCCCTACACATTTCAGCTTTAATCAACATGGAGTCATAATTCTACGGGGGTCATTTTTCTTCACGTGGTTTCTGCAAATCTTTAGGGTGGTGACATTTTTTCTATGGCAAAAAGGGTCATTTTTCTACGTCGAATAATGACCGGGGGTCATTTTTGGCTGTCGAAAAATGACCCTGGTCATTATTCGATGGGGGTCTTTATTCGTCTTTACAAGTGGCACTGTACTTTTCAGGTCATCCATTTTATTTTGAAGACCAATTGCAATTCCAATTCTGAAGCTAAAAATTAAATTGTTTTGATTTAAGGTCCAAAATAGTAGAAGCATCAACAAACATACTGGGAGCCTTGAATATGACAACTGACTACACTAGCTCTTTTAATACAACAAGAACAACTGTAAATGATGAACCTGTAAACGTAGGAGAAATAGCTGGAATCGGAGTCACTGTTTCTCTTTTCTTCCTGATTATATTAGCCATTATGGTAATTTGGAGATACAAACGACGTCAAGGTATCTCAAATTTGTACACTTATGCAAAATTATACTGTATTTAAATTAACATTATATTTGAAGAATATGGTATTTTGTCTTTTGAGTAGATATTTTGTACAAAAAATCATTCCATTTCTATAGAAAATCTGGTGAGCATTTACATGTATCAACCGAATCTTTTGGTTCGAAGGCAATAAAAGCGCACTTTCAGAAGAAGTAGTCTACCATGCTAAATTGGCATTTTTACGTAAAACCATTTGACAGTTTTAAAAAGCATAAGTTTTAGATTTACAATCATAGATTCTTTAGTTCACACTATTTTCCTTATCCTTTCATTTCTTAAATTTAAAATAAAATATTTTAGTATGTTTAAGTATTGTAAATAATATCTGATGTTATATTTTGTGAATTTGATAAGTTTGTGAGTGTTTTCGTTACTGAGGGCATTATTAGAATATTTATTTCATGGTATCCGAGAAATATAGTAATTCATAAAGTATTTTTATTTGGAAATTAGATATAAACAAAAATGAAACCCGATCGACATGAATTTAAAAATGCAATTTATACTCAACAAAAAAAGAAACGCATATTGTTTTACTCGTCAAAGAAATTTTTAAAATGTACATGAAACAACTATTTTTTATATCATTGGATACCTGTGACCTATTTAAAGGACAACATGGGGTTTTAAAACCCAAGTGTTGAATTATCTCCCTTGATTAAACATGTTTATGAAAGTAGTGTTTTTCATGATTTCTTCTAAATCAAATGTCTATTTTCATTGATATTGTGGATTTAGAGAAACTTTTAACACTTCTATTAAACTCATATTTAAGGTTTGATTGCAATGTTAATACTGCAATGCCACGCCCTAACAAAGATAAATACGACCAGGCTAACGATGATACTAAATGGAGCTACGCAACAGGAAGTTGCAACTGTATTTGAAATAGATCAATGGGCTTTGCAAACTTAAAACTAACGTCTGAAGACCACTATCTGGCCATCCGCAGATAATCACAACCAGGCAGGACCGTCAGACACCCCCCCCCCCTTCATAACCTCATGCCACTCAGAATTGGCCGTAAAAACTGCTGCTACAATTGCTGGATGGAAAAATCAGCATAAAAATGCATACATTGTTCGCCTGAGACTAAAATGAGATGATATTCCCCCACGATATCGTACATTGGAAATCCACTAACACTGAGACTTTGCACAGTCAATATTGTTATGCCCCTTGAATTTGGGGGCAATGAAAATGACATCAACTTGACTTTTCAATTTGCAACATTGATTTTTATCACAACACACTTTAAAATCGCTTAATAATACAAGGTTTAAACTGAAATCTTAGAAGTTCAAATTATTCTGATTATGCGTTTCTTTTTTTGTTCAGTATATATACTCTTGAAATTAAAGTAGAGAAGAGAAGATCTATTAAAATGTTGGAATGAACACAATAACAAAATGTCTTGTTCTCTTTCAAGTGTATCAATATTTCAATATTATATTTTAAATGTGATATTTTTGATTGTTACATATAACATTTTGCTATTATATGCTGATAGTTTCCACTTAAAATTTTTGTTATATAATTTAAGCAAAATGATTGCAAACAATTATAAATGCTGTCTCTCTTCCCTGAAACTGTTCAATCTCCATTGCAAAACATAATATTAAGTATCTATAAGGAAGAATTATTGACTCTACGTCTTCTTATTCTCTTTCTCTATTGTAAAACCTTTGTAAAGCAGTAAGCTTACTAGGTTAATTATAATATTGTATAATGTAATGGGACCTTAACCATTTTAGCTTACCTGAGCCAAAGGTTCAAGTGAGTTTTCAAAACCAAAATTTGTTCCTTCTCTGCCGTCGTCGTTGTTGGCCTTGCTACCGAAAACATATCAAATGTTCATCATTCTTCTCCTCAGAAACTATTTGAACAGATTCAACCTTTATTGACAGTTTAAAATCTTTTGTATATATACCATTATGTAGCGAGCAATTTATATGGAATTTTTGTTTATATACAATGGAAATGTAAATAAAAAAAAAAAAACCTTTATTGACATAATGAGCACACAGCCATGACACCTTATCCCACCTCTGGTGTTTCGGAAGGATTTGTTTGTTCAAATAATGATCTCTAGGAGTAGCTTGGAGAACTGTAGGAGATTAAAGTTTTATATGGGAATACTATTCATTATCTCTACACATGTATATCTACACATAATATCTTTTAATGTATAGAAATTCAACTTCCTAGATTTAAATGTCCAGGCCCAGAAAAAAAAGGCATCATTTGAAAATATTTTCAAGAACCGCCTGTCTAGGGTAGATAAAACTCATGTTGAATCATTATCAGCAAAAGTAGATTCAAGTTTGATTAAATAGTGACATATGGGTATAGGATAGGACTACAATGACCGATCACAGTTTAACATTGGAATGTTAAGGAAAAATCTTTGATAAGAACGACTTGATCAGAAAAGATGAAACTATAGTAGCATTATCACTAGGCAGTGATGATTTTACTCTGTTAAAATCTTGACCCCAGGGTACTGTTGAACATCAATGGATCATCAAACATTTACTAAACAAAATAGAGGAAACATCTTTAAAACTCATTTTTCTTGAGAACGACCTTACGAGTAATGGTTTAGAAAACTCAAGGATGGTATATATGACTTTGTTCAAATGATGATCTCTAGGAGTAGCTTGGAGAACTGTAGGAGATTAAAGTTTTATATGGGAATACTAGCTGCTAAAGACAAAAGTATTTTTAAAAAAATTTTTCAAGAATACGAGGGATAATCAAAAAGTTCGCCAACTAATTGAATAACTTCCTAAGAAGAAAGGATCTAAGGTTTCAGTGTTGAAAATATTTTAAAGTCCCTCTGATCTAAATGCGCATCTCAGCAACCATATGCATGCTGCCCATTTGCGGATCAAGTGATATTGGTGGTCACGTGACCTGCTCCTCAGCGTTCTGTCATAGAAGCTTAATTTTTTTCTAACTCATATTTGTTACCATGCAAGTAATTTTTTGGATCAAAATCGGTCTTGTTGTAAGAAATGGCCTAATCTCGCCAATAGTATGAGTGGATAATGATATCCTTTGGCAGAATGAGCAAAGTGACTATCAAAACCCAAGTCCTCAATCTTTTTAGCGTCGTTAATTCATGTGGATAAATTATGGGTGCCTTCACTTTATCATATCTGATACGTTTAAAGTCTAAAGTAAGCGATATTTTAGGAATTTGACAATTATATTATTTTAAAGATTTTTATCTATTTTTCTAACTTAAAGTTAATGACATTTCCTTTCATTTTTTTTCAAAAGACGCATCTCTCTGTCAGTATGCTTTGACTGTACAACAGAACAAACGTAGTTTTTAAACATCTTCCTCAATTACTTAAAGAATCAATCCAATTAGTGACTTTTGTTTTCGTTAACCGTAAACAAATTATTAAAAACTTCTACAAAGGAGTTTCCAAAATAAACCTTTAATTTTACAGCCGTCCATTACTCGCGTACGACTGAGTCAACCTTTTTTGTCATGAGTGACTTATTTTATTACGTCATTTTCACATCGTGACGTCACAAACAAGGGAAAAGACGTTCAATTACATTTTCTATTTATAGAACACATTAATGACTTTATGTGTAACTAATTGCGTTCTAATCTTTTTTGTGGTCTTGTAAATATAGAGATCGGACGCAAACTTTTTGATCACCCATTGTACCTAAGTAATGATTTTTGATATCTATATTGAAAACATCCTCGGATAGTGGAAAAATCAAATTTGTTTAAATCATAAATCCTGGTAAAGAAAAATCCTTAAGTTAAAACACAAAAGCTACGTTTACTAATTCTTAAATATAGGTATCCTCAAGTTATCCAAAAAATGACCTTTTCGGGGTATTGAGTGGCCACATTGAAGATGAAAATTTTACAAAGTAATATCTAGCAACGAAATCTTTAATAATATTTTTTTCTCATAAACAGTAAAGTTTTAGGGGATATTAGCATGGTAAAGTGCAAGTCCAGCCTTTAAACCTCTAGTACACTTGATTGCTTTGTTTTCTTAGCCGATGTATCCAGTAGAGCCATTGGCCTCTTTTTTTATCATACATCACGGTTGCCTTGAATTGGTTTTACTAAGGGTAAAATTTATTACTCGAATATGTGTAAAAACATGATTTTTGTTTAAAAATTTTAGCGTTTTTGCTGCTAAACTTTTAGTAGGTGATTTTGTTTGCGTAAATAAAATGAAGAATTTCTTTGTCAAAAATCTGATATTCTTACCCAGTTAGTGTATGATTCAGATAAAAAAAAAATGGTACATTGTAAATATCAAAAATCCATTTTATAAATTATAATCACTTTCCCTTTAAGAAAAATCCAGTGTTAAAATTGTATGATTTTTACGAATCAATGTAAAAGCGTTTACAATATAGTAAATCGTAAAAGGCAATAGGTCGATCAAATACAGACCAATACAGCCTATAATGAAATAGCATAGCTTTTTTGACAAATTACAGCAAAAGTACACTGTAGTAATGTTAAATGTTCATGTACATTCATTACAACAACAAATTCCATAAGCAAGCAAACAAAACAAATAAATAAAAAATATGTTTTCAGATTTCCTATAAACATTATTAACACACTAATCAAAAAATGTCCTCTGTATACTGTATATCGATAATGTAATACTGTAAAAATAAGAGTGGATGCAATATATATCATATATATTTATTGATTTTCATTTGAATTACAGGATTAAAAAGGAACACTGGTTCTTCTGAAGAAATGAAGCCTTTAATCAATCAAGGTAAGAAATTTATATCAGAGTATTCAGAAAATAAGATAAAATAAGATCAAGAGATAAAGAAAACACATCTATAAAATTCTTTCTGTTAAAGTATGGAGAAATTGATAATACAATGAATCGTTAAATAATATTGCTGAGTAGCATCACAACCTCTAGATCTTCCTAAAGTACAAAATTCATTCAGGATATGTTCTAGGCAAAGCCTGTGAATTTTCTAATTATTGCTCTTTTTGTGGTGGATAAATAAAAAAGCTAAATTTGCGACATTTATGATCTATATGTACATGTATACTTATGGATGTATGTTT